GCAGTGTACTACTCCATTTTGAACTATGATTTGTATACAGTGCAATACATTTTATCTTGAACAAAGAATATTTAATTACAAGCTTCTAGCATGGCTAGTCTTGATTTTACTTCTCCACCAAAGTCATGAGTTTGATCCCAGTGTTCTTTTGCAGAGGACAGCATTTCAGTTCAGAAAGGAGAAAAACACATTGCCCTCACACAGCCCCTCTCAGAGCACCTCCTAGAGTAAAAGCCTTTTTTTCTAGCTTAAGGTTGTCCACATGTATCACACACTAGGGTTTCTACCGAACAGAAAGTGCTGTTGAAAAGACCCTATGTTAAATCTGACTTTTTTCTAGGACATAGGATACTCTTACAGGGGTTTCAAACCATGTACCCCAGTCAGACCCTGTTATGGTCTGAGGTAGGAGCACACTCCATTTTTCTCCAAGCACAGCTGGAGGAGGTTACCCCTGGTTTATCCACCTGGCTCAGAACCAGAGACCTCACCCACATCTACAGGGGAATGGGCTTCAATTTCCCCCCTCACCACAAAAGAATTTGAATTAATTCTCTTGAAGAGCCTGTAAGGCAGTTTGGGATTAATGTCCTCTATTCCTGTGGAAGCTTCCACACTACTTGGAATAATCAGATATTTTCTTGGCCAGGGAGAGTGTGTAGTCTCTTAGACGTTCTGCTGGAGGGAAGAAAACAGAGTGTCAGTCCTTGTTCTGCTGCCTATTTCACACTTCCATGCCATTTGTTTAATAAAACAGAAACTGACATCAGTGTCTCTCCTTCTTCCTTTTAATCTCCTTCTTCCTTTTTAATCCAATGGATGCTGCATTAGTCCCTGAAAATCAGCCCAATTTCTGCAGGAGAACAGCAAGCCAAGTCGTACCTCTGCCAACAGAACTGAGATACATCTTCACCATTGCCTGCTGCAGAGGAGGACCAACCGAGCTCAGTCCCCAGGCTGCTCGTGAGACTAAAAGAGGGCCACGCTGGTGCCATCCTGCCTCTCTTCCCAGCCACTGTTACACCATCAGCTAAATAAAAGGAACACCTCCATGGTCAGCTCTGTTGACATGCCTTGAGAGGCTTTCATTCACCACCTAGCACTCAGAGTCAGAGATATTGCAAGCAAATACCTGTCAACACCAGAGCTGTGAATATTGCAACGCTGTCCTTTGTGTAAAATGCAAAAAGCTTTTATTTGGATTTGCATTCTCATCATTATTTTCCATCCTTCAGTATAGCTCTAAGCCACAAGCTCGAAGGGGATTATGTTCTGCTTCTGGTTTAGGAGCAGAAGTGTCTCACGAACAGCTTTTGCAGTTTTCTGCCAGCAGAGGATACCCAGGACCAAACCTTGCCATAGGCTTGAGTGCAGATTCTGCTTTGAGGATACAAGCACTCACTTCCACCATCTGTTTATGAGGAGCACTCAACATCTGACACCCCATTTCAGTCACCTTTACGATTCAGAGGAAAATACATAAAGCTGCTTTGAAAATCTACCATTTTTGTCCAGGCTCACAGTGTTTTCCAGCAGCTGGAGCTTTAGCTTTTAGTTTTAAGAAGGCTGAAATGGAACTCCTGCACCTCACCAAGAACATTTATCTTGACACAAACTCATGATGGATAGATCAATAGCTTCTTGAATCCTCATATCCTTTTCAAATTACTGCCCCTGATATATACCTGAGTAGGCCATCTTATCTGATAACTTAAACAAGCAACCTGTCTACACTTTAATTGTTATTGAGGATTAATGTTGTTTATAAAATGAAATCAATACAATCTCTATTGCTTATTAACTGAAACATTCTGGGCTCTGCTCTGTTTGCTTTGCTTTTCAATTAGTTTCTATTATTTTCCCTATTAGCTTTTAACAAATAGCTGTAGAAATAAACTTAATGGTTGTGAAACTGTTATCAGAGTCAACAAAGCCCCTTAATGGAAAGTCTTGTATATTTAAATGTAAAAAAGAATCCACTGTTTAATCATTTGACATTATGAGATAAGTTTATTACTATACATCTGTTCTGTGCTGGGCCTCGACTTTTTTTTTTCAAGCTGAGCAGTTAAGAGTTCTTGAGGGTTCTCAAAAGTTCAGGTGTCAGAACTGTTAAGCTGCTCGTTACATGTAAGATGAATAAACTCCACAGTCTAATAGTCTCTGGTAAAAAAAAACAGAAAAACTGAGAGTGGGTAGAAAACAATGGATTTGCCAAGAACCTAATAACCGTTGTCCAATTACATTGTAAAAGTGTACTCAGTGCTGTGCAGCCGTTTAGTATCTGAAACATCTTCCAGACGCTATCCATGCTTTCTCTGTGATCCCGATTTACACCAGTCACACTGACTGCTGCAATTGCAAGGGCTTGTTCTTCCCTATCAGAATGAAAGGAAAGCAAGAACTGTCAAAGTTTCTCAGCTCTAGCTGCACTCTTTAGCCTGAGCTAAGATCCAGGAGGTGAGTGGATGATTGTGAAGGACAATGGCTGTGTGGCAGGGAGGGATAGTTTTGAGGGCAGCAATCGAGGCAACAAATCTCAAGGTATAACACGGTAGTAGTGCTTCATGCTCTGGTCAGAATCAAGAGGGTACAAATACATTTTCTCAGTCTTTTCTTTTTTATTCTTCAAAGGAAGAAGACTTTGCTTCCATATTACCATTTAGAAGAAGGAACTGTTAACTGACCTTGCAGCAGAAACCTTCTGTCTGTGGAAATACAGTTCTGCCATCCATGCTGAAAGCTACACCTTTACATGCCTTTTCTATGCCGTATCATGACCCATCGCTACTCAAAGCCAGAGATCTTGGCAAATCTAACCCTCTTCGTGCATTGTTTGTGCGCTCTTGGTAGTTTATCTGGACTTGGTCATTAAGCAAGCAAATTTCCACAGACAGTTATATAGCTGAGTGGTTGTACACTGCCTGCTGCTGCTCAAACCACAGGCACTAAAAACAGTGGCACGATTCCTGCATGTCTGTGCAAAATGATTCTGATTTGGCAGCGCCGCCTCCACTCTGCCTTCACTGACGTAAGCAGAGAACTGATAAAAATGCAAGGCACTGTTAAACAGGCCCACGAAACACAGGGACTTATGGATGCAAGCTCATAATCCCTGCACAGACAGGGAGGACAGTCCAGTCCCTTTACCGTTTTGCTCCTGTCTGTGTATTCAGAATGACACTTAAATAAATACGTCTAAAAGTCACTGCCAACAGCACAAGAGCTGGCTAGCAGAGCCCATCTCGGGACAGCTCTGCGCTCTTGGTTTGAAATAATTCAGTCGACTGAAACGTTCCTAGCCCTCACACAGCAGATACATTCCAGGGTAGGGCGAGGCAAAAGGTTATGAAACTTGCTCAGGTGTCATTTATTTCATGAAAGTTTGCCGGTTATTATAATCAAATGTCAATTGTCTGTAATTGCTGTATGCAATGGAAAATCCCTACTTAGGACATGTTCTGCCACTAGCTGTTAAAGTACACTAACCCTCAACAATGAAGCAATATTTTAAAAATAGTTTTGACATGTAAGCAGGTCCAGGAGTGTAATTAACACATGTTTATTTTGATTATTTTTTTTTTCTTATGGCTTTTGCTGTAAGGAAACCACCCTATGTTTCAAAAGAAAGGTTCAATGTAGAATTAAAGAATTCTTCCTACTCATTGTAATTCATTGTAGTAATCTAAGTACTAATTAATAACACTTTTCTGCTTTGATGGCCTCTGTCTTGCCTTAGCTTCACAAACGTGGATGATTCTTGCAGTAATCTCACAAGACATGACTGTGTTGGTGGCTTATGGGGTAAGGATCAGATCACAGAGCACAGCTGGAGCTCACCTCAGATGCAGTCATAAGACAATATTCTCTGAGAGGGAGCTAGCAGTAAGAATTGCAAAATGGGTTGAAAATTGTTTTAATCTAAAGGGATTATTGTTCTATTGGAGAACAGAGAAATAAAAATTGGTGTAATAACTTTGACCAGGTGTTGGGCTGGGTGTGGCAAGGAACATCACTTTATTTTTTTTTCTTTAAAATGAAATGAATTAAAGGATTAGACACCTGATGAAGTGGAAACTTAGAAAAACTTCCATTATCCAACACCTTTTTAGTCTACCAGGCCACGGAAAATAAAACTGTAATGACAGTTTATATTTTTGAGCTGAGGATAAAGAAATTCAGATCAGAATCTAACCCCTGGGTCAGTTCATACACAGATGCAGTAGACTTGCTGTCACTTGCAGCCTAAAGTTGTGTCTGGCTTTCAGAAAAGATGCTAGGGTTCAAATAGTCACTCTGGGCTTGATGCAGAAATTGTACTGTACAGTTCTATGCCTTGTTCTATGTATATGGGAAAACATGATCCATATCTAGCCTTAAAATCTTTGGCTCCGTGGAAAGAAAAGACATTAATAGTGTTTCAGTAGTCAAGCAATCAGGATAGTTTACGATGAGGTGTACTTTAAAAATTAAGAGGGCAGAGGAAAGAGATGGAGGAATTTCAGTAAGGATTTCATTAGCATGCCAAGACAGTCTAATGTTCCTCATCAGTGTCTGTATGCTATTTGTGTTACATTTTTGTTACAGCTGGCCCACTGTAGATGAAAATATAAGTGAAAGTGGGCAAAGGTTCCCTGAGCCTTTACCTGAAGAAGTCTTACATTCTCACTGAAATTATCACTACTCATTTTAACTGGCAAGCATAAGATAAATATCCAGATTTTGTGCAGGTATATAGAAAAGCTGAATTAAGTTGATCTGTATTATTCATTCCAGTGATCACATCAGCACTTTTAAATATATACATTTTTACTTTCCAAATTGAGAAGTGATGTAAATATGAGACCCAGTGGGACTTTTTTTTTTCCCCAACCACCGAATGCATGTTTACACGTGTATATACAATGAAGAATGGGAATTATGGAACAAACCTGAATAAAGGCACTGTTAAAGAAAATGCATGTTAGTATGCACCTACATAAAGACATAATTATGCATGCTGGTCATTTTGAGAAACCACATTCTGCAAAATGACTTAATTTTGGTTATTTGGATTATTAGCACAAAAGGACTTAAAATTACATGTATTGGTATAGTGACACACTTCTTATTTACTTATGGAACTGTGCAACAATACAAACAATATTCCTAGAGCTCACGTTTTCACAGCTTTAACTATTATGATTTTAGCTGCTATATTACAGCTCTCCTCTCACCATCTGCATCTATTCACCCCTTTGGACTCCTGTGACTTCATTTTAAACAACCCTGACCTTCATTAAATGGCTTGGTTAAGGCTGATTTAGAGGCACAACTTTATTCTTATTAATATGCACGCCTGTAGGAAAATTGGAGAAATGGTCTGCAAAAACAGTATTCAATTTAGTAGAGACAAGAACAAAGTATTATGGTTTTGGCACAAATATGCAACTCTACAGTCATAGGATGGAGAATAATTGGTTAGCAGTTCTTCAAAAAAGGATTGCGGAGTTATAATAAACTGCAGGCTGAACTTGAAATAACAGTGCTGGAGCTCTGAGCAAGATTAACCACAGACTGAAATTTTCAGAGAGAAGACATTTCAGGAAAGCACCTTGTAATGATATATTTTATAAGCAGAACATGAAAGTGGTTGAAGTTCCATACCCAGTTTGCAAATGGCAGATCATTTTCAGAGGCTAATAATGGCTACATTTAATAGTTACTGTAAATATATAGGAATAACATGAGCATTCAAGAGAATATACACCTAAGGGGGAAGAGAGAGAGAGAGAGACTAAGTGACTGCAAATGCTTGGCATGCTACCAAGTTTACAGGCGAAATGCCCCCAGATATTGCCATAGGAACACCTGTATTGGCTTGCACATAAACCAGAGGATCTGACCCTGGTCAGTGTCCTTGTGGGGCAGACGCTGCTCTGTGATCAGTTTGCTCCATCTGCACAAACACCGAGTGCTTGCTGCGGGCACACAACTCTAGGAGGAGAGGTACAGAGCACAGCAACACAGAGTACACAAGTAGCACAAAAAATCCTTCAGATATCTAGAAAAGAAGCAAGAGAGTGTAATATGTGCTTTATGGGCTTCTTCTGAATGGTTTCTATTCTTAAAATTGTTATTTTATATTATATATTTTTATTTTATGTAATTGTTAATTTATATTATATATTATTATTTTACATTATGTGTATATCATAACTTTCTTCATAGAAGGAAGCCCAAGAAGCCAACAATATTTAGGAAAATTGTCCCATGTTTAGACTGATAAATTTCACATGTTCCTTCTGCGTCCAACTTTGCTTAAACAAAGTTGTTAGTATTGTCTTATTTGCATTTAATTTCTGTCCTAATCTCATAAAGAAAGAAAAGTAAAATAGGATGCTACAGTGCATGTTCATAGACACCCAGATCAGATGCATTCTGTCAGCATCCATCTCTCTGAAATATCAGAAATGTCTGCTAAGAGTTAACCAACAAATTGCATAAAATGCCAGTATGCATAATTAAAAGCTCTAATGAATGTTTGGCAAAACAGTGGCCATTTCTCGCAAAAAGTTATAAATAGAAGGAAAACTGAGGAAAAAAAAAAAAAAAAAAAAAAAAAGCCTGGCTGGAGGGTCTTTTCAAATGCCTAATTTTTACATGAAGCTTTATTTATTTATTTGAAACAGTAGGATACAAAATATACCTCGCAAAGCTGATTAAACTTCACCACAGGTCACATATCCAGCTGAAGGGGTTTTATTTTTTTGCCTCCCAGACCAGTTCGTATGAACACTACTTTGCAATAACAACTCTGGAAGCGATCTAGCTATACCTGGGAGCCAAAGCTCCCTGCAGCAAGGATGGAAACAGCAATATCCTCTCCCAGCAGACCTGAGGATCGCCTGGTGAAATGCCAGTTTTCTGGTGGAAAGTCCCCATGTTTTCCTGGATCGGTCTGTGCCTCCAACCCGTTTCTCTCTCTTCCTGCCCTCTGGCTCAGCAACCCACCTTCTCCTCAGTCCTCCCTCCACCAAGCCGCTGGCATCAACACTGCTCCAGAGCCTGTGGGGAAAGCATTTTTGGCGGAGCTCTCAGAGACTTGGTACCGAGCCATGGAGAAAGTGGCTCCGGAGTAAAGTCATGGGCAGTGACTACGTGAGGCTGAGCCCTGTTGTGGCACCTCCAGACCTACCCTGAAGCAATTTAGTTTTGCCCTGTGAAGAGACCCATGGAAACCAGGGTGGCTTCTTCTCTCATACTCTCACCCACCTTCCCAATTGCTGTGACTGAGCACACAGTCGGAATGAATCCTCAGAGAGGAAGGATGCGATTTATGACCTAGCAGATGAAATCATCTATATATTACACAGATCGCCAGCACTAGCCTGGAAGGAACATTATAAGAGCTAAGACACCAAATACACAACAACGAACACAGGGAAGCTACAAAGGACTTTGACAACATCAAAAGTAAATGAAGTGAGAGAGGACAACAAACTACACAGGCAAGAGGATGTGGCTCTGAGGAAAATAATGATAAAGAAAACAGAGATAGCCCTGTACAGTTTTATGGTATACACACTGATACGTGACCTCATGGAACAGACAACAAACAGTCCAGGCATGAGACAGCATTGCTCGAGCATTACATTTATCTGGAAATTGCTGTCTGGGGGGAAAAAAAAAAAAAAAGGACAAAAAGGAGCCAACCTGATCTAGGTCTGCCTGACACACAATTTAAACAACTGACTACAAAATTTTGTACCGGAACCTACGTAGCTCCAAACTCAGCCAAAGTACATACAAACATAGGCTTATTTTCAAGTTCTTCTTTGCTCTCTCTGGGACTTATCATATAGCCAAGGTCAAGCACGTGTTTCTGTTCTGTGCTGGGACGCAGCCTGAACCACCAAGGAAAGACAAGGAAGTTTTCTGGAGAACATGTATGAAACCATTACTGTGACTGAAGAAATTCTTTCCACCCCCTGGATTTCTTTTCCAATGCCTCCAGCTAAATTAAAAGCAGAGAGCAGACAAATTTTCATCGACTCTTTCAGCACATTATAATTAGGGCCTATTTCATCATGTTAAACATCCTTTAGTCAAATAAATGATGATTTGATCTGCAGCATCAACAACAACAGCGAGTTGATGATATATAGCAATCCACGTGCACTTTGCTTCTAGCTAGTACTGTGCATATCCACATGGCCAGAGCCACAGCAGTGCCCAAAGGGCTCGGGCTGCCACCCCAGCACCTAGAGTGCCTGCTGGCTGGGTCACCACGCTTCCTGCAGTTTTTACTCATTAATGTTCTCACACTTCTGTACCGAGTAATTCCCACATAAATCCTGAGTCCTGAGAATGGATTACAGTAACCTCTCCTTAACTTTTTTTTTTTTTTTAACTTCTATTTGATACTCTAATAGTGTTTACTTAGTAAGCTATTAAAGGTACATTATTTCCAGTTTGCTGACACAGTATGCAACCTACAGATACCAAGACCACGGCTAATAACATTCCTCAACTTTTAAGTCCCTCTGTTTTGTATGCTTTTTAAATGAACTTGGACAGATGAATCTTTGCTGACTTTGTGTAGGGAACTATTAATGCACACAAAAAAAAAAAAAAAAAAGCACACTGGTGCAATCACTAGCTTGATAGACTATTCATGTAAAACCTGATCCTATGAAGGGATTGTAGAACCCACTCCTTCTGATCACTTTGAAAGTTCACATGGGGAACTCCTGCAGGATGTGAGCTACCTTGAATTTTCACACTTTTAAGTTCCTCCACCATACTGTAGGTCTATGATGGGGAAAAGAGTAATGCCATATGAGTGGAGAAAAGCAAGTATTATGGCTATAGTTAAGAAAAGTGAAAGGAGGAATTTGATGGCCCTTACAGACCAGTGAGGCTGACTGCTGTTGTATGCAAACACACGGAAGCAGACAGAAAATAACATAAGATGTACCTTGGGTTGATTAAAAAGGTGCCACAGGAGACTGACTCCTAATCTTTCTCTGAGCAATGATTTTCTTCTCTTCCTTAAACATGGCAGGCTTGTGTCAAGTCTTCTAAGGCATCTGATATAACGGCACATAGGAGCTTACATTCTTAAGCTGGAGAAGATATGGATTATCAGAAACTATAAAGCAATGAAGCAGCTGGCAAAAAGGGGATGTAACAGTATACAGTGCTGAAAGGAAAAATTGAGCAGCATCATCAACCTAAAGGAAATTTGAGAATATAAAGAGGGAAATATTTATGTATAATTTATATAGGGAAAACTAGACAGCCTTGAAAACTAGCATAAAAGTAGAGGGAATAATATTTAGTAGCCCAAAGCAGAAGAATCTCCATTTGGCAGCTAACAAAGGTTTCTGCTGGAAAACCAGACAGTTGGAAGGGGAGAAAAAAATATAAAGGAAATTTTGTTGACTCTGATACTATGCTGTGAGGCAGGGGACTGGCATGAAGCATCCTTCACCACCCCTGTGGTACCCCCCTCACCTGCCGCTCTCTTCTGGCCTGTGCACTTTGATTCCCACCCCAAAGAAACAAATGGAGGGCACTGCAGGAGTGAAAGCATGCACACCTGTGTGTCTCTGGACATAAAAGTAGGTGTATTTGGATAAAACAGCTGAGAAGTACTTCAGCATCTCTTTATGTTTGCACATGCAGAATGGCTGTGGGCTGTCTGCATGAACGACCCTGTGCACCACTGCTAGTACATGAATATGACTTCCTAGTCAATCAGAAGTGGATATTGTCTTCACAGTAATTTGCAGCTGCTCCAGCTGGAAATGACATTCGTGAAAGTCTATTGTACCAGAGATCAATGTTAATTGGAAACACCCCAGATTTTCAACTCTACACTATAAGGAATGCTCTTAGCACCATTTTCAAGGAGCTGCTGCAGCCATCCACCAAGACACCCTGCTCCAGGGAGACTCAGCAGGCTTTCAGCCCAATTACTCATAAGCTGGTTACTCAAAACACTGGGGCTTGTGCATGCAGTTCAGTGGATGTTTTTGGACCAGCTCTAACACTGAACTTCAATCCTCAGGGTTCTCTGCATAAGGAGTTGTCGCACAAAGTGAAATTGCTGAAGTACTTGCTGCCACACAAGTTCCCTGGGTGTACAGCTGTGAGGTGTTGTACAAGCACTGCTGGCATGTGCATTTGGCTCTGCAAATCCAGAAAATTTACGAGGTTCATCTAAACATAGATAGCTCTAATTGCTTGCCAAGTCCTAGAAAAGATATACTGGCTAGAACAGTGCAAGCCTGTGTGGAAACAGGGCTACTCCTTTTCATCCACTGAGCAAGCAAGTACATCTTCAGTTAATACAAGAATCACTAAACATGACAAGAAAAAATACATAACTAAGAGACAATGTGACTGCATAAAATTTCTTCATCTATTTCTTCCCAAGCTTATGTCTGATAGGCATCTACAGATTGGCCACATGCCAGAATGGGCTACATTGTGAAAGATATGCATATTTTACATACATTGCATTGCTACATACAGAAAACTAGTTTCCTGCCCTGACTACTAGAGTCCAGGATATTTTTTTTTTTCTAAAAATTCAAGAAAGTTAAGATGTATCATTTCCATATTGGGGGGTTTATCCTATTCCATATTGGGGGTGAATATCGACAATTTTTATGGATTGAAAAGCCAAAGTGGAGGTGTGTGGGGGGAAATAAAAGCAGAAATTGAACGCTCTACCCCCACCCCAATTGAAGTCAATCAATATATTTTTATTTTCTCATCTCAGGTATGATTTATTTTGTTATTGTTGGTCTATATAGGTAGGAGTTTAGTTTAAATTTACAACAAAATAATTTCCTGAAAATATTCTAATGGGTAATTTTGACAACCTCAGAACTTTTCCAAAACATTCTTTAAATAAGAAACAAATGTAAACTGAAGATTTCTCAAAAGTCATTCTGGTTTTGACAAACCAGAGCTTGTCTGTTCCCCTCTCCCCGCAAGGAAGAGGCAGTTTGCTGAAGAAATTCCAGCCCACATTATCAATTATGCAAGTCCTGTGATTTTGCAATAACCAGCTCAGTAGCCTGCATCTAGGTGGAGAATAACTAGTGACATACAATCTTGACCTAATGAGCTTGTCTCCATAGGAAACTATACATCCAACTACACATGTAAACATCGCTTCAGTCTATTAATACCATCTGTGAGATTTCATTGGACGAACTGAATAAATTGCTGTCATTATCTTTTTGCCTGAAACCCTTTTCTAAAAACAAAACAAAATTACTGAATAAAACATGTCCAATTAGATTTTTTTCTCTCCTAATCTGTCTCACTGTGATTAAACTAATGCTTGCCCACAAAGGCTAGCCTTAGGCTCCATTGTACAGTCACCCCTTCCATGTTTCAACATGTCATTGAGTGTTGTGTTGTTGTTTTTTTAAGTTAGAAAAAAAGCAAAATATTGAATTAGATTAAGTTACCAGGGTTACTGTTTCTTGGCTACTGTTGATATGAAAAAAAAAAAAAAAAAAAAAAAAAAAAAGATGCATCATAATTTGTTAGGGTAAAACTATTAACAGTAACAGAGGGAAGAAGCTGTGGATGTGCCAATCTAATCCTTTCTCCGTGTGTGTTAGACTTTATTACTGATTTTCTGTGCTGGGCTTGCCCTGAGAGTCATAAGGGTTTAACTAATGGTTCCACCCAAGTTACAAAGAAAAGGTCAGCTGAAAATGCCAGACCCATCTTCTAGTAGGACTGCATATAGAACATTTCTCAGAAAATTAGTATATCAAAAAATCTAGCTGATGGTCAGCACCAGAAAGGCTTTTTCAAAAATCAAAACTATGGAAGAACTTCTGGGTATCCTTGGACATCTCACTATTTTTCTGCTTCTTCTTTTTCTTACCCCTATCCCATTCCCCTTCATGCCTTTTAATCCCACTCCCTTCACTTGCTCCTTCCCAGTCTTTTGTCTAATATATATTGTCCTGTCACCTGAACTCCTAGATAGACCCTTTCTTTTTGATAATTTCTGCCTTTCAATACCCTCTACAAGGATTTTTTTTTTCCTGTAAAAATGAACAATTCTGGTTATTTATTAATCCTGGAATTTATCAAAATTTATCTGCATGGTAGGTGGGCAGTGCCTGAAGTCATATTTGTTAGCAAGGTATTGTTCTGAAGACACAGAACTAGACATCATTCTGGTATTAAATATTTTTGGCATATTCAGAGACACTTTGGAGAAGGTGCAGAAAGGGTTAGGTTGATAGGATTACATGGACTGGATGCCCCACTTTATCACAACTGAATATTTGGTGAATATGATCAGCAAGTACTCCTGGTCAGGAATTCACTAAAATTAGCCATCGATAGTTCATTTTTTAATATTTTCCGATTACCTCTGACAGCTCTGGTGTACCACACTTGAAAACTTCAGTGGCTTGAAGGATTGAAGCTTGCTATGCGAAAACCTTTCCTTGGCAGAAATCAGGTCAGTCTTCAGCATCATACAGTATAATGAAACAGTATTTTGCAAAAGTGTATATATATTTTTTTAATGCTAAACTGTTATATCTGCATAGATCATGTTATTGAACATGTACAGGGCAGAGCCTAAGGCCAACTTGGATTGGGAATATTTCGTGTCTACTAGAACTAGATGACAGAATTATAATCCTGTTCATTAACAGTCAAAAACAGAGCTCTGAGCCATTTCTGCCTCTCACACCGGGCAAATGTAACCTGTTTTTTATCTCAATCATCTGCTGGAGAGCTGCATTTTGCATGCATTTCTATCAATACAGACACAGAAACTTAAAACCTATAGGTGTCTTCGAATCCTTAAATAAATGGTAACTTATTAAAGGTGCTTAACAAGATTAATGCACTTGACTGCACCAGCAGTTGCAGATATTAACCTGCTGTTAGATTTTTATTTCTCTCCACTAACTACTTACAGCTGATTCTGAACACTATGCTAGGTTGTTGTTATTTTTTTTTTTGTCTTTGAAAATGCTTCTTCAGTGCTGTTACATTAAACTTCTACCACTGCTCACATCTCTCACAACTTTTAGCGATGTCTGTGCTAACTGCTTTTTCTTACATAGTTCTACTAAAAAGCAAGATTAGGATTTTTGTGCACCTCTGTGTTCATGGTGCCATTTATTCTCACAGAACAGACTCTCACCAGAATGGAAATAAAGCATAGATCTTTCCTTTTCCAGTGTGCTTCATTCTGACTCTCACAAAAGCTGATATGTGTATGTTATACCTATTCTCATGTTATCATGCTACCTCTTTAACAACAGGGGTAGGAAATAATTCTGTCCGTGTTCTATACAAACCATTGCAAAAATCACATAGTAGAAGAGATTATATATAGTCCAGGTCAATATTCATTTTGTATTCATTCTGTGCATGCCACTTTCACCATGGATGTGTTGTGAGCTTGTTATTTGACTACACTGTTTTATAAAGGCTATATGATAAGAAACCCTAGACCTTTTAGACAGTCTGCTGAAAGTCCTAGAGATTTGAGAATGTGCTTTAAGCTAAAAGCACAAAATAAATGCCCTTGAATGTGCTAGTCAGACAGATTGTTATAGGGGCAAAATTAGCCATGGCTGTCACTTTAACAGCCTGGTACAACATAAATAGCCCAATGATATGAAGCAGTGCTACCTGGCAGCTGTACATGCCCTCCCTCTACAGTGTAGACAGTGACAGAGCTCTCTGCTGCACAGGTAAACACTTGTTTGGCCAATAGGTCACAATCTGTTTAGATATATCCCTCAGGAAAGAACGAACTTGCAGAGAAGAGAAACCATTGAATAACTAATCATGCTGTGCCAGTTTCCAACTCATATTTCCACTTGCACAAAGCCAAGAAACACCAATGTCTCAAGGAAAGAGTGAAAGGGGTTCCTGCAGAAGGGTTAGGGAAGATAACCAAGCAGTCCGTGGGAGTGAAAAATCTTGCTGGCCACTTGCACACACTCAGGACCACTTCAAAGAAGCAAGCAGGTCTTCAGCTGTTACCACAGAGTTTAGTGGAAAGACATTTGATCATGTTATTTGCTGTTCCTTAAAGGAGGAGGGAAAGGATGAATGTATGAACGTGAATACTCTGGCCACAGTCATGCTGGTCTTCTTAGTTGCTGAGGAATATGTAACGATAAGAAGATGTCCTACATCTTCATATGTGTAAGTGTTTTAAGCAAGCATTCACCCTGTTGGTAACAAGAGCTACCATCACATCCTTCTAACTCCAGTGCAGCCCACCAGACCTCCTTCTGTATCTGGTTCTCAGTGTGGCTACTTTTATTGTAAAAGAGATCTGGGGAGAGGGAACTTCCTTAATTTTTTGGCAAATAATTTTGTAATAATGCCTCAGTAATTAAGGACAGAATTCAGTTAATAGCTGTAGCAAGCATTTTAATTTATTCAATCTGCTTTTAAACGTCAACAGTTTGAAGTACTGTTGGGCAACAGATTCCGTAACCCCCAGACATAATTAACCTGCAATCAGGATAAGACAACTTAAGTAACATACCAAGGTGTATCTTAATATAGGATTAGAAACAAAGAAAAGAGAAGAAAAAAATAAAACAAACCACTTTGGCCAGCAACGGCCACTGTAGACCTCAAGATGAAAAAACTTCAAAACAAATGCAAACCATCCAGTTCCACTAAGGCTTTGCTCTTTGATAGTTAGCTTTCACTAGGCAGAATATATTTGAAGGGACACTTAGGCTCAGCATGAGCTTAAAAGCAGGAGCCAGATACCACAATTTTGCAAGTGGGATTTTGAAACCAAAAATCAGCAACAGGCAGAAATGGCCCTTAGCAGGCAAAAGAGTTTCTTCCTCCTTTTACTTTTCCACCCAGCATAAAAACAAATCAAAACAAACAAACAACAACAACAAAAAAAAGTCACAGAGTTGTGCAGGTGATCTTCAGTTGCTATATGAAGGAGGAGGAGTCTGGAGGAGAGGAGGAAAGAAGCAATAACTTTCAAGGGTCTTTCATGCATAATCATCTTGTTAGCCCCAATGCTGGTGTGATAATGCCTCTTTCAGCATTTTGTCATGCAAGATGTCTAGAGTCCTCTGAAACTCTGAGAGCTAAGTCATTCATACCTGAAGGGCACTCCACTGTATCCACCCAGATCTAAACATAGACTTCTTTTACTTCCAAGGGAGAATAATAAATTGATTTGTTGAATTATTAGTTTGATTCTGACTCAAAGGGGAGAAACACTTTTCAGCAATACCTACCTCTTTCTGTCAAGCCTCATATCTCCATAACTATTTAAGTGTCCCAATACAGGATCAGTCATCAGACATTTCTGTGCAGGGAGATCAGATTCCTAAAGAATAATTCAATAAGACAAGAAGCAGGAGAAAAAAAAATAAATCACAGTTTGTAATAAATATCTTAAAAATAAGATGTTTCTGTGCATGTGGAGCAGTGTATCTGAAAGATTTCAAATTCAGAAACCAGAGAATGGGAAGAAGAAATTTTCCAAGATGACATAAAGATCTGGCAAATTTACCTATGCTCTACTGTCTCCTGAAATTACATGTGGAATTTTCCATTTAAAAGGGGGAAGAAATTTCTTTTTTTCTTTTTTTTTGTTCTCTCCTGTTTATGCTGCTATTATAAGGAAATTTCACACTTTCAGCCCTATAAAATACCTGGTATTTTCTTTCAGTCAGAAATGTGTGACATTTTCATAGAATTTAATTTGTCACAATACTTAATTACTACAACACATAGCTGTTGAACAGAGCCAGCTGGAAACCACCAAAACTGGCCTGAATTGGTGTTCATTTTTATTATAACAACCTATGCTCATTCCTTTTGATGCATCCAATTTCAACTTTCCAATTGGAAGATTTCAAAAGAAAAAATAATTTTATTGGAAAATTTTACATATCGGTAATGCCTTATTTCAATGATTAAAAATAGCAATGAAAATTTAGCAAATGATTATACCATTAAGTGACACAGAGTGCTGGACCCTGGAATAAAAGTACATATGAATCTTAATTCTGTTTAGGCAACTCTTTTCTAATGAAGTCTACAGGTACAAAGCCCTTTTGGGGGGGGGTTGCTGCTCATATCCTTCAGGAGAGCTGAACGGGTTGGGTTAGATGTAATGATGTTCCAGTAGCTGCAATACAACCGTGTGAGCACACAGATGCCAAGACACCTTCTACACTTTTAAGACTTCTGATGCCTACAGCTTGATGAGTTAGAGACTAGAATGGAAGATCAAATTCAGATTTTATACACAACTCTGTAGCTAAGCATTGTTTTAGTCCAAAAGTCTTTGTTCAACCACAAATCAGAGAACAGCCTGCAGGAAACCTTAGGTGACACTTTATTTCATGCTTGAGTTTAGATTAGAAAATCAAAAGTTCCCTTCTAGCCTTTCTATACCCAGTAATCTGTGAATCCTGGGCTCGTCCAATTCAGCAAGCTTTGCTCACCATTTCCTACTGAATAAATCTTCAAAAATCGATTTGCAAACCACTCCTACTAATTCCTCTTTTAACACCTGCAGAAGAGAGCCCAGGTGTAGAAATTAATGTTTTCACATAGATGGGTTATTTTACAAGGAGCTGACTAGGAAACGGGCAGTTGTAGATCTAGCTTATAACAACATTGTGCCCAAGTCTGTACACTGTTAGGGACAGGAACTGCCAGTTTAAGTTTGGATTTTTTTCAGGAATTTCCTGAATTTTCCTGGATTTTTTCCAGGAATTTTCATAGTTGGCTTGTGATAATCACTGGCAGAATTTTCTGACATTTCAGCAAAATTGCATGGAGAACTCTTGAAAACATTTGATAAGCTGGAGAGAGAGGTGGTAAGAAGCAGCCTAAGGAAGCAAGACAATGTTTCATGAAAATGCAATATAATTTGGAAATTGAAGAACAGCAAGAAAATGAATGAAAAGGACCATTTATCTAATGATGATATATACCACCACACCCACTTGTTCTCGCTCTGCTCTCTTCCAGTCTTTCACTCTCCTCTTATAAACAAGAAAGCAAAAACAATATCATCCTCTATAACACCTTTCATCATAGTCCTAAGTATTTTATTAAATAGATAAGTTTATAGGTCTTTATTATTTCCATTTTAATATTTCCAAATTAGACCATTACACCATAACATTTCCAAATTAGGCCATTATAGGTGTTTGTTATTTCCATTTTGCAGACAGACTCCACACTGTATTTCCATATCTGCTACTTTGAACTCATTTCTACATGGTCTGAGTCTCTTTGATATGAAGTTTTCTTGCCAAAGCTTGTCCTCCTTTAGACATATACCTCTATTTGTGGGCATTAGAAATTACTTCATCATCCCTGAATGCAGGACACTAAGCCTGTATAGTCAAAAGAACTATGTTGTTTCCTACAGTAAATTATTCCCAGATTGCTGGCTTAGTCTCCCAGTCCTCTAAAACAGAGATTTATGCAGCCAACATGCTAAAATCATAATGATTTTACAATAATTCTCATTTCAACTATATTATTCTGAAAGAGACACTCCTACCCTAAAGCAAAAAAAAAATGGCAGTACCAAAGATGATAGACAGAAGATTTCCTTCAACCCCAGACTCCAGCTCATCATTCAGAAGGATATTACCTGGTACTGCAGAAGTTTTGTGCTATAACATTAAAAAAAAAAAAAAACTCTTTAAAAAGAACTTTCTTCTCATCTCTTCACTTCTACAAACCCTGAATAAGATGATTTCTAGAAGAATTAACTAAGATTTGAACCCACTAAGTTCTGAGCTCCACTATCAAGTGAATAACATAAGATTCACTTGCACATAGATGCATTTTGCATATAAGATGGATGCAGATTTGCAGGACCAGCTCATGCCATGCAGGAAAGACCAGTAGTGATCAGCCCTTGCCTTTCTCTGCTTCCTGTGTATTTTCCAAGGCTAATTGTCAAGGCTGGTCTCATTTTCTTAATAATACAGAGTTATTACAGCAGCCAAAAGGATCCTTCAGCAATGAGCTGCTTATGCGTGCCGTTGCCTTTATTTTAAAAACAAGCCAAGAAGGGAAGGGAACTGAGAAATAGAGAATTCTTTAATGGGAAGACATCTGAATGTGAAGCAAAAAAAAAATCTACAGAAAATCATTACTTTTACTTTAAGGTGATAAAATGCTCAGTACCGTAGATCACATGCTTCTCACTTCTCTGTGCCTGCTCCTATGCTCTGAAATATCAATAAAATCAGATAAAATTGATTAAAAATTAGAAAGAATTGTATTCACAGTTAAACAACAGTCATAACCACAAGAAAACTTTAAAACACTTTGGCATGCTAGCCTGTGCCAGTTACATAGGAGAATAACTTATCTCCACAGGACTGGAGCAATGGCTCCTTTTATTTTCAGTTTATGTGGGAACTGCTGGGGAATTATTTTTCTCAGAGGTTCATTCATAGCAACCTTGGGGCAGGGGGAGCACAATCTGAAGAAATGTCGGTAAAGAAGGTCTGACTCTGTTTCACTGTCTAGCTTATGGTTTCCATACATTGCCCAATGTATGGCTGTGGAGGATAAACTCTTTTCCATAGTTCAATTCACTGCTGGACACCTCAGCCATGACCACTAGATTAAAAACACTGTTAAATATAACCAGGCTGTAATATGCCCATCTACCCCATCACAGCAAAACTCAAGGGGTCAGTCTACCCCCAAGAGGCTAGAGATATTACTCAGATGTAAGTAGCATGCTGAACTGCAGGTTTAAATCAGGGTATCTGGGAAGAAATCTGAACACCTCCCCGTGTTGTATAAATTGTTCATTTCAAGAGCAGAGAATTAAGTTGTTTTTAACCTGGAAAATTAGTATTTGTGATACCATCTTACACAGAAGCTATACAGTAGCCTAACCCAACATTAGTTACAGAAAGCCAGCCTTACAGAGCAGACTTTCAGAAGAGCCTATCAGATGCTTTTGGCAACTATTTGCCAACCATGGACAGCATCATTAAATTCAATCAAGCAGCCTCACAGGTGCAGCCAGGTAGGAGACATCTACCGGGATTTGTACCGCATATGCCTCCAGTGAAGTGCAGGGCTTGGATTCCCTGGTTTTTGATTAAACAACTTTTCATAAGGACATATACACACACCACTAGATGCATAAATAAATAAATAAAATAATAACTAATAATTAATACAAAAAATGAGTTGTTGATTTTGCTGTTATTGTTGTTTCATTTTTAAGAAAGGTCATCTGATGGGCTTGCTTTCCCCAATGAATTCATGTTTTGCAGATGTGCTGGCTTTGGTAGGCCTAGAAAAGCAGAATTGGATGGAAACCCCAATTAAGCAGGAGACCGTGGAACCGTTACTCACTGCCTGATAGAACAGGCATAGCTGCCTCTGAAAGCGCTCACCTAGCCATATAAGCATTTTACATTTGCTTCTTAATGTAAAGAATAAAACCTTTTCCCTACTTTTAGCCTTTTCCCATGGCCAACATCAGTGTTCCGTAATAACTCATCTCTGAGTAACAAAGTAAACAACATTACAAAATAAATTCTGAAGCCAAATATCTGATAAAGATGATTAATGCCTCATGAAATATCCAAGTCATATTTGCAATAATTGCAATATTTGAGATGGATAACAGCAGAGAATTATAGGATTTGCTGTAAAGTTCAGTTATCTACAGGAAGTTCATGTGAATGTCACATTACCTTCTAACTCGCTGGTACCTGCCAGACATACTCCTTAACAGCTAGTTATTTGTTTTCTGGATTCTAAAAGAAGGAAAAGTTTGAGTTTTGAAATAGATTTTCGACAAAACACCTTTAAATACGACCTTGCTCTTGAATTAAACTATATCAGCCTAGAAATAACTGCAGAAATATATGAATCTACCTCCGATGAAGAGGATTTTCAGGGAAATACTATTGAATTGTTACACAGAACAAAATTTCCCAGTGCTTGTTCAAGACAAAGTTTGCAAGCAAGTATACAGCTCTTTTCCACTGAAAAATGACATGTTTCTTATTCAGAGTAATTCACGTAGGTATATTCTGCAGTATATTTCCCAACACAATAAAAACTTAAATGTTTCACAAATGTCTTGGGAGAAAAAATGCTGAAAAATACCATGCTATAGCACCTCAACCATTTTCATAATATACTCTGCAGAATACAAGAAGGCCTAGGGATAATTTCCTTCTTTCCCCCTGTGATTGGACAAACAAGTTCTCCTCTAACATAATCAGACTGTCTCAGTAGCTAGCCAACGCACAGTAAGATAACACTTGATATACAGAGAATAGGGAAGAAAAGTTACTATTGTTGGCAACCACTTACCCCAGAGTTCTCAAATTTACTCATGTAAAATTATCTGTTACATCATCTTGTTAATAATGACTGAATGCTTTGTAAGGATTGTAACAAGTTAAATTCACTACTGGAGTTGTTCTGACTGGACACAACTTAACTGTTTTGTTTTGCTTTCACGATGCCTTAAGGTCCTTTTATAATCAGTCACTTCTCTGATGCTAATGAAAAGCCTTGCCGCAAATACTCCAACTTAATTATTTTTCTATGACCACTCCTATACCCCCCAGCCCCAAATTGCACCAACACGAACACTGGTGGCAAACAAGCACAAACAGGGCACAGAAAAGGTCAAAGAAAATTTGTTTTCAACTTTAAAGGAGTTTCCCTGTTAAACTCTTTCCAGCACCTGCTGAGCTCTTATAGCCCCTAGAATTTTCTGGTCTCCTGAAAACTTCCCATTTCACATGGAATAGCAGGAAAGTAATATCTGGAAGAAAACTGGCAATGAGGAAGAGCCCTGTCTAGCCATTCACACCTACCTTGCAAAACTCCAGGCTCCCTTGAATAGTCACTGTGTGATGTGGGAGGAACACAGGCAGACTTTTCCCTCCATTTCTAGCGTCAACAAGGAGAAACAGAGAAAAGCTCTGCAGGTCTAACCAAGCACAGCTGGCTGGGTAGAGGAAACTGCCTACCCACTGCATATTAATCTGTAAAAGTTAGTCCTTTATAGGAGGCTGTACAGCTTTCTTTTTCTTAAGATGTACTATGTTATCAGGAACTACTTGCAGATTATCACCAAAAAGCCTTGCCTTTTTGTGCATCTAGGCTTTTATCTGGACCTTCTTCACCCACCAGCAGATCCAGTAATTACCAGAGACACACTTGAGCCCTTTCTGGGTGATTACAAAATCCCAGAGCAGGTGGTGCATGCTTTGCTTCAAGGGCTGAAGACAAAGTGCTGAGCACATTTGCCAGGACTTCTCTCCATGGTCACCACAATCCACAGCACCACAGCAGGAGGAACTGACAGAAGTAGAAGCGTAGTTTTTATCTGTCCCTCTGGTGTTGATTTTATTGCTTCTCCAAAAGATCCTTGAAAAAATTCCCCTTCCTCCTCTGGTAGCACAGAGGGCAGTTGGTCTGAAATCAGCTTAGTCATGATCACCAGAGCAATTACAAAGTGCTTGTTTAATTGAAGGGAACCCTTTGTTATCCACACCCAATCTGATATTCTATTACCCTGCTCTGTAACTACATAGATTTATGGAGATACTTGTCAACTATGACAATTTTGCTAACAAATTCTAGGACAAAGGAACGTTAGCAAACAAACAAGAAAAAAAAAAAAAAAAAAGAGAAAAGAAAAAAAAAAGACAAAGAAAAAGAAAAAAAAATGAGGAACTTTGGAAATGATCATCTTTCTTTTATTTACAAGGAAAAAATAAGCTCATGAGAGTCAGGAATAAATGGAAATCAGCCTCCAGCCTTTACAAATGAATAATCATGTGTAGAAAACATAGTGTTTTTGTTAAAAATAAAGATGTAATTTGCAATTAACTAGAGAGCAAGAACTATTTCTTCTAGAGCCAATCTAATGAGGTTTTTAAAACTGGCATATTCTGATCTCATCTGTTTCCCTATGGGCAGAGAAGCCAATCTTGAGCTTTCCTGTTACAGATCAAAGTGACGGCTACAAATGTTAGCAAAACAAAGTCTCCCCTAATGTCAGGCAAAACAGGATAAAAGGCAAACAAGCAAGAAATTGAGCACATGGATATGGGACTACATGGGAGGGTATTTCTTCTATTCCAAGAAAGATGGAATCACATCTACTAAATCCTGAATTTCAATAAATACAACGTTATTATGTTAGAGTACTGGTTACCATGTATGTGTCAGCCCTCCAGAGGATCCAGTTTTTATTTTCCCTTACCTTTCAAGGACAGTTGTTCATATATTTATTTGCATTGCCATATTGCGGAGATGCAGGCTGTGATCAGAGGTCCATTGTGTAAGGTGCTGTACACACAGTTTATCAAAACAGCCTTGGCTTCAGAGAGCCTTCAGTCTAAACAGGGAAATTCTAGAAGTCCCAAGGGGAAACAAATGCCTGTAAGGCTTCCAAAAGAGAACTAGAAAGTCTTTGGAAAGCATGTTTGGGTGGCATTTTATACTAAACTGAAATTTTGATGTTTTTGTTTCAGTGATATATTTATCCGGGTTTATGTCATTAAGAGCCTCCCCTGTTACATTATATCAATTATATCAAAACAGCTTCAGAGAATAAAATTTATATGAGCCTCAGGGTTGCACCCTTAGTAAATCTTTGCTTACTCAGAGTCCCTTTTTAGTCAGAAATTTTGCTGTTTAATTAATCCTCACAATTCATCCTTAAGCATAAAGCACCAGAAATCTCTGGCTATCCCTCATCTGCAAACATTGCAAACTCTAACTTCCATCACCAGAATATTTTTAAAATTAAGGTCCAAAATATCTTGAGAAGGACAACTTGAATAGATATTCAAAGAAAATTATGTCCATCTATGGCTCACGTAATAAAAGAAAACAACAACAACAACGTGTGTTTTATTACATATATTCATTTGCATCCATTCAGAGACAAATAGCTATATATAAGGCACAATGAAAAGTAACCTTCTAAACATAAATATGCATCAGAGAGAGGAGTGCAGGTATTTAAAGCAGAAAAGGAATAAATGGTGAACAGCACAAGGGATTCAAGGAGGTCTACATGTCTGGGAATGTTACTACTTGAGAATGTAGTTCTACATCTCTCTTCTAGATAACATAAGGACCTAGAGGGGAACACAAAAGGGGTGGGGGACGACACACCAAGAGGATGCTTATATTCACATTTATAAAGAATCAACAGATTGTCCTAGGGACTTTTGTCTTTGAACCTCTTCTCTCTTTACTCAGGAAAGGCATGATCCCTTTGGTCTTTGCATGAAATTCTAGATTCCCCAGAAATCAGTAGAAAAGAGAGATTGATAGACAAAAAACATGCTTACTCTTGGGCTGTGTGATTGGTGGAGTTGCGCCTCTTAACATAATTTCTGCTAAAGTTACTACAGATCTGCATTGCAGTTCAGCCTGACAGGTTGACAAGAAGCGGAGATTTTCTTAAGATGTACTACTTTTGCTGAAGCACAAGGTAGAAGGAGGAGGGAAGAAAAGAAAAGCAAGTCACAATGCAACTATTACTTAGACTAAGCAACACCCCCTTAACCTTCCATTGTTAATATAAGTAATACACATATTCCTATTAAAAATACTGCTGCTAGATCAGTGAACAAAAATCAGACATGGAGATGTGTTGAATTGTTGGGAATTATAGAAAAATAAATTAAAGAACTAACAGGTAGTACTTAGAAGATGCAAATTAAATGGTAGCCATTTTCCACTTATGTAGCTGTTATTTTCCAATCCTATATTTTAACAGTTGAACACCTTAAAATTTCTTCACTGAAGTCAGATTACAAATTTCAGTGTTGTTTTTCTTTTAAGTGAAAAATGGCATTAGATACTTTTGCACAGGTAGCTGTGAATAACACCACAAATAATTTATTTTTTTTCATACTCTATCTTTTGAGTTGCCAACAATGTTAATCTCTGCTAGACCTGGATGAGCTAATTTTGTAAAAAGCAGAACATGCCGGATTTAGTAGAGAGATTTCTGTTCTGATGCTTTCAAATCTCCTGTTCATATTCCTATCAATCACTGAAGTGAGTCATCCTTTTACTGGAAGAAATTTCATTTAATCTTGGTGAGAAAAACCTTGTATAAGAAAAGCTAGTTAAGCTGTATGGCAGCCTGACACTTTCTGTGGCAGACGGAAGACCCTATATCCTTTACTCAGCAAATGACCTTAACATGTAAGTGACCTTTACATGTAAGTGGAGAGTGAGGAGAGAAGACAGCCCAAAGACATTTGAAGGCAAATACAAGTCAAAGACCTATTTGTAAGGAGACTGGCAAGTGAAACATGAACAACTTCACAACTGATGACTTCTGGTTGCTTTCCATTTCCAAGAAAAGGGGCGACTGCAGAGCTACCGGATAAAATTTGCTAAAGCATTGTCATGTACATGTTTTTTTTATATATATAAATTTTACAAACAACAAATTCCTTGACTGTAAGAGGTTTATCTAACACTGATGTAAAATTCCTTTAAATCAATTGCTGAGCAAGTACTTACACAGTAGATGATTCATTTTGCTTTCACCTTTGCCAACCATCTCTGAAGAGGGGCCAAAGAAAACCTTTTCTGGCATATAGAGATTCTTGTCTTATTTTGAGCCTAAAACCAACGAGATTTGATCAATTTATTCATTGATGGTGCTGAAGAAATGATTTCCAAGAACTTTAAATTTATTTCAATATTTTTGAAGAGTTTTAGAAGAAAGAATAAACAAGAAAAAAACAGAAAAGAAGAAAAACAGGAGAAAAGTTAAGGGGTGTGAGGCAAAGACAGAAGTGGAGAACAAAGTTTTCCCTTTTTTTTTTTTTTTTTAAATAGGCCTAAAGTGAAGCCTTGGTGCCACTGAATTCCAGTGATGCTGCAACAGCAGCTTGGATTCAGACTGGATTCAGCTCTTCAGTCATGTTGCTGCTTATACAGTGCTCAGCTTGGAAGGCTCCAAGGAAAGTCCTGAGCTGTTCAGATTTCTCTCAGATGGTGCACAAAAGTGAAAAAAATCAAATAATATTTTCTAGATACAGCAACCACAGGGGAAACACTCATATAGGAAGGTTTCTCTAAATTCTTGTTGTGATTGAAGTTATTCTTAAACTAGAAGGTATTGTTTTTGTTTTGTTTTGGGTGGTGCTTTTTTTTTTTTTTTTTTTTGGTTGGTTGGTTCTGTTATTGTTTTTAACTTGAACTCATAATAGCAAATTGAGTCTTAAATTTCATACTGATTCCTTAAGCCATTTCCATTCAAGTGGGACTAGTGGTTTGTCTACAGTTTTGCTCTGGAGCAACAAATTCCTGAATTTTTAACAAACACTGGAAAAGCAACTGGCATTTTAACAAAGCACTGAGGAGATGAAAACATGGAATTTCCTAGCTGAAGTCTCTATTACTTCACCACTATTCATCTGAACATGTTATTTCTCCCTGTAGCATTAACTGGAACTACTGTATAATCTACAGAGCAGACAGAGAGGTTCCTATACTTTGGATCAGGTATTTTAATCTGGGATATTCTTTCTCTCTAGTGGAGGTTTAAGACTTAGAAGAATGTACAAGCTTTGTTATGACACACACAGGAATAAACTTCAATGTTAAATTCACTAAATTAAATCTGTTATTGCCAAGGACCGCAATGAAGAGAGAGATTTATTCAGTATGCTTTCCACTAGGGCCAAGAACTAAGGTCATGGTTTATGCTTGTTTCTTATGTAATGAGCATCAAATGAAAGATGCAAAAGGATTCCATTTTTAAGACAGAGTTAAAATGAGCTATTTAATATACTAAAAGCTAGTGTGTACTGTATTGCAAAGTCCACAATGTTCCAGAATGTCAATTGCTGCCTATGCCATTAAAGAAATTAAATGGATTGAGTTTCAAAAATAACCTGTAAGCTATTCAGAAATAATTTCTGCAGCCCCTCAAGATGAACTGTCTATTATAGCTGCATGGCAGGCAGTGTTAGTATTAAACTCTCCCTTGGTTGCATGCTGGATGAGAACATGCACCTTGATCCTTCCAGCATAAGTCTGAGGATCTCATGAGCATAAGCCACTAAGTGAAGCTCTGCACTTCCTCCAGCTTCACACACAGACCAATAATACCACAAGTTTTCCTTCTCCAAGTACCCACAAATCAGGTCAGCTGCAAAACTGTTCTAAGTTTATGCAAAAGATGTATGAATATTGCAGACAAGTTAAGACTACTCACAGCTTCTAGTCTGCATGGAAATAAACTATTATCTGCCCAGCTACAGATGATGGCAAAAATTTCCCACCTGCACATTTCCTG